TAGCAATGCTGCATTTTCTCCATACATAGCTTAAGATCTGTTTGCACACACCAGGCTACATTGCTTTCCTGTAGACAGGAGAAATTCTGATCCCTCCTGATATCAATGGAAAATTCCCACTGGTTTCTGTAGGAGAACGATTTCAAAAGCATGATGCTCATTTTGTTAATCTATATGGACATTATTATGTAATTTTGGCTAGGTATGTACATTCATACATATATATATAAACCCCTGCCCTTCAGCTATATATTCAGGGCTCTTATTTTTCCCATCAATCAGCCCCCTCTAGTTTCTGGAACATTTCACCTAATTTTCTGTTGGTTGCTTTTAACTAAATACTGTCTTTCCAGAAAGCAAACTACCAAACATGTGTGATGTTCCAGCCCTGGTTTCAACACTTCTGGTGCATACTCCGAGCGCCTCACTGCGATACGTCCTCGCCTACAGTCCCTGGTGCTTCACCTCTCCTCTGCCCTCTGTCTCTGCAAAGCTGGGTCACATCTACCTTCTACCATCACCTCCTAGACTCTTCTCTCTACCTTCCTCAGGATCCTGTCTGTCCTTTGGTGTCAGACTCTTTCCATCATCTCTATGAATTCTGGCTTGGTTTTTCACTTTTAGACTACTTATTTTTGGCCTGTCATTTAAATTTCTTTTGAGTCATTGTTATTATCGAGCCAACTTTTATAAATAGCTCTAAGCATTGCAGGTATGTGATAATCAAGTCCTTTGATTTTTGAGCAATTTGGTTACTAAATGATAGCAATAAAAAGCATGCAATCATCATGGGCGTTAGCCCAGGAAATGTTTCTACTGTTAAAGCTTTCAGGAGGTATATGATGAATCTGGTACAAATTTATGGCTCTTAATAATGAGTGTTATGATGTACTTTTGCAACACTAAACAGTGAGGTGTCATAACAGCTAAGGGTAATACCTGGGGGAGGTGCTTTTCAGAAAAATAGTAATCTATTAAAAGGAAAAGAAAAAGCCTTTGGTATATATAAAGACATTATTTATTTTTAAAAACGCATAAAAATCCAGTTGTGTACATTACTGCTAGAATGATGTAAAAAGGCAGAGAAAACGGCTAGTTAGCTTAATCTTACAGTTGCAAAGTATGTGTCTAGCTGTGTGGATGTATAGGTATTACTGTTTTTAATTTCCTCAAGAAAACCCTATGAACACTAGAAGCCACCTCAACTGACATAAAAGACAATAACTTGTTATGGGAAGAAAACTTACACTCCTCTCAAAATCAGATGTAGTCTGAAAAGCAGAAAGCAAGCAGAATTGATCCCAAGGAAAGGCATCTGCGTAACTGTACATATCTACATTCAGCAGTGTGGACATTTATTTTAGGCAAATTTGCAGCAGCAAGAGGAATCATAACACTGGTCATAAATACGCACTGCAACAGCACAGCCCCTGCTGAAGTGAGTGGGTGTTGTGCCTCTCTCAGGTCTGAGAGAATGGGGCTTTTCTACTATGCTGTAGCCTCCCTTCAGAGAGGTGTGTGCATATATATTCATTCCATTCAGAGCTATATACATATATAAGGAATGTAGGCTTAAATATTTGCGGAAAGGGCACCTGAAATCAAATGGCAGTCCTCATCACTTAATTCAGGATACTGCTAAGCAGAGCAGTGCTTCACATTATAGGCAGACCCAGGCAGGGCTGTGAACCTGCCTGCACAGGACAGTAGGGACCAAAGCTACTCTTCCTTCTCCCACTCCTTCCATGGGGCACGATGTACCCATGGTGCTTGGGAGCACAGTCCTTTGGGCAGTTCCCCAGTCCAGGAAGGCCCAAGCAGTCACGGAGCAGGGTGGGGAACAGCCAGCATCATGGGTGGCTGCAGGGGGGCCCTGCACACTCCCAGCTCTGCACCAGGACAGCTGCCACACCAGTCTCTGCTCTGCCACCAATCGGCTATGCTGCTTTGTGGGTTCTGGCATGACGAAGACTTACCTATGGCAGCAGCCTTTGAGGCTACTCCAGTGGATAAAATTACCCAGAGATATAAATCTTCATAGGATTATGACCTTTAAAGACATGGCTAAGTTCAAGTAATTATTTTTGGGCTAATTCTTTATTTAATTTTCTACTAGGATGCAGATTACAAAAGCCATTTTAGAACAGAAATTCAGTATTCTGAATTAATTAGATATGCGCTCACCAAAATAGCTGTTAACGCACGGTTGGTGCTGCCACAAACCTCATTCTAAAGTGTCCTAGAAAATGCTCATACTGATACAATTAAAACCCCTTATTTATAAAGTAATTTCTTATTATGTTCCACTATAAACTTTTAGTGTAATTTTTGCTGTTAATAAAATATCATTAGACTATTAGAGGCAGGGGGTTTTTAGAGTCATTTTTTAGCACACAGGATTCGCAATTTCTAAAGCAAAAAAGTAGGAAGTGTAGCATTGTAAAAAATCCCTTTCACTAGGGGTCTAATCTTTCCCGCAGTGAAATCAATTGGGGCTTTGCTATTGCATTGAATGTTAGGATTTGGCCCCAAATATTTTGAATTTAGCATGAACAACCTTGGTCCCCTGAACAAGTCCCATGGAATCTATGTGCATTCCCAGGATCATCCCTGCAATATGAATAGTCACTTCTTAGAGATCTGTTGTTCAGACAGACCCCAGGAACTGCTAATGAACAGGGAGAGCCCCTCTGAGATCATGCTATTGGGAAGCATCATTCCAAGAGCCCTTATATAATATTTTAGAATAATTTTGGTAAGCATATCCAGTATTTCTCACATCAAATCTTACACTTTCACTCTTTTAACCCATATAGCATAGCAATTCCCAAAAGATTTTAGTGAAGAGAAGTCTACAATCATCAAAATGTTAATTTTGACAATGACAAAGAGTACATGCATTAAAAATGCATCAGCCCTGTCATTAAGGCATTATTCAGCAAAACCATCTCATCATGCTAAACAGAAAGCAACTAGAAGAAAGCAAGTAAAAGAACCATTTGCTAAGCTTGTATTTATGGGTACCAGTCCAATCCATACTGCACAAGGTACTCAACCAAGCAAAGAGCAAACAAATCCTTTACGTGATGAAATGGGAACTCCTAATAATACTCTAAGCATGATTCAAGGGAAAATGTCAACTAAAAGCTCAGATCAGAGGAAGGTTTGTAATACAAACCTGGATGTTTAAAATAGTATTTCCATCGCTGTTCCTGCAGCACTTGTGAATGTGGCTGTGTTATGGTGCTGAACTGACTATGATTTAGCAGCTGATCATGTCTTTTTAAGCATAATTTAACATTGTTTCTGAGGCTGTTGAACATACTAAACTAGAAGAAAAAAATCTGCTTTCAAGTGGTATTAGAGGAACACAAGGATCAGAGTGCTAGCATCAAAGATGTGTCTAAAGAATAACAGATCCACACGTCTGTATAACAAGGAGCGCTCCACTTGCTACTGAAGGCAACAGAGTAAGATTCCTTTGGCAGTTGTTGGAAATAATTAAGCAGAACATAGACAGCCTTTCAATCTCTAAGCAAGAGACAGAGAGAAAGACATTCTCCATCATCCCGCCTCGCACTCACAACTTAACAATCATCCCATGTCTATCTCGTCCACATTAAAAATCGTTCCTAGCCTCATCATAGCTGAGCTTCGGGAAGGATCCATTCAAAAAGGCTGTCTCATCACAGTAATCCTGGTCTTGCTTTAAAATGGCTTCTGATCTAATTCATTTAAGGCTGAAATCTGGTGTCACAATTATGACTACGTGGCAAAAAGACCTGGAATCATCTGGGGATGTGGAGAGGTCTCAAATGGGAAAACAGGGATGATCACACCCTGCTCCTTTTCTCTGCCACTCTTGTGGGCAGAGGAGCAGGGGAAAAAAGACTGGAACTATGAATGCTATGCCTAAGATTTTCCTAAGCACAGCATCTAAAGACTAACCAGGCTTTTAATCAAAGCCTGTACCCTGATGCTGAGATTGGAGAGAGGATCAGATGAACCTCTTCTGTGTTAAAGCAATGGGGCATGTCTTGGCCAACAAGGGTAATCAACACTCCGTTGGTCGTGTTTCCCACCTGTCCAGCTGCAAACAGCATTTAGGGAGTCCTGAGCTCTTGGGAGAGGGGCAAATAAGCCACCACCTGAGCTGCAAAGGGCAAAACAACCCCTCAGCTCTTGCCCTGAACATGTGTCTCAATCTGGGGTCTCAGAAGCTGACAAACTCTACATTGGGGTGGGACTGGTGTGAAGTGGATTCTTAATCCTGCCTTCACTAGGTTGGTACTGCAGGGTGAGGACAAGGAGGTAAGAGGATCATGACTCTCCCTGAAAGCAACCGTCCACAACCTCTTTGCCAGTAGCGGCCCCGCTGGGTGGCCGAACCCCTCGGCAGCCGGGGAAGAGGGACTTCCCCGGGAGACGGGCGCTCTGTGGCCGTGCGAGGTGCCCCTCGCCTCCCTAGCACGGGTGCTCGGCACCTCCCCGCCCGCGGGCACTCCCAGCCCCGCATGACTCGGCTGCTGTGGGTGCGGGGGCCGTGGCCACCGAGGGGGCGGCAGCCCAGGCTCTGCCAGCGTGTGCGGGCAGAGCCGGGGCCGCCCCGGCCCTGCGGGCACTCCGTGTCCCGCGGGGAGGGACCCCCGGCAGGCGAGCAGCGAGGGGCTGCGGGCGGCGTGGGCTGGGAGCTGCCGGCCGAGTGCCGGGACACGGGGGCTGTCCTGACGGGCAGAGCGCCTTCCCCCCGCCCCGGCCCAGCCTGCCGAGCGCTGCCCGCGGATGCGCTCCCCGCAGCGGCCGTGGCTCTCCCGGTCACCCCCTACCCGCGGAGCTTGGCTAGCCTTTACCTGGCCCTCCCCAGCCCTGGGCTTGCTCCCACGCACACACACACAGCGGGTACCCCCTTCCTCAAGAGAGGGCGTCCGAGCTCCCCCCGCCCGGGCATAGACACAGAGTGAAACATTGCAAAGCGTAGGAAAAGATGGAAAAGGTGCTACCTTGGCAACTAGAGGAGGTGAGGAGCCAGCTGGTGGGCTGGGGGCGGTCGCGCTGCCTGCCTGCCTGCCCGCCGCCGGTACTCTCCTCGACTACGCGTATTCTTAAGCAATAACAACGTAATCCGTATTATCCACCCAAGAATACCCGTCACCGAAGAGAGTCAGAAAGCTGCTGCTGTTGCTGGTGGTGGAAGTGCGGCACCGGGACAATAAATCCATAACTATAATTCGCCTCTAGAAGAAGGAGAATCCACAAGGGTTGCCGAGCGATCTTGTCCCATATCCAATGGACGCTGAACCTTTCCATCCTGCGGAGGCAAAAGAGAGGAGCAGGCGTTTAATACACACGCGTACAGTCCCTCTGCTCTCCTGCTGCCTTACTGGAGCGGGCAGGGGCTTGCAGGCGAGGTGAAAGGAAATAAATCAAAGTAAGGCTGAGTTTACCTGGTGATTGCCTGGTTTCTTCCTCTGTGCTTCTCTGGTATCCTATTCCCTAGCTGTATGCTCCATCAATTCTCTCTGGGAGCTTGCAAGAGATGTCATACGCAGCAACAGATTCCTGTAAAAGAGATGCACGGTTAAGCACACAAATATTACAAATCTGTTTGCATAGGTGGGCTTGGGAGAGCTCCGATAAAGCAGCAGACACGCCTGAGAGACTTTTCATCTGGGCTTTGGAAATGCATTTTACAAGTCCTGACTCACACTGACTCGATGTGCTACCAAGAGGAGGGAGGGCGGAAAAGAAAGCGATGGAGGGAGGGGGGGGAAAAATCAAAGAAACAAATAGCAAAGCCTCCTATCTCAACAGAGGCACTCCTCTGTCAGGCCTTCCTAGTGCCATGAAAATATAAGGCGAAAAAGGCTTCAAAGTACAAATTCAGCGCGCTCCGCTCCCCGCGTGTGCCCGAACGGCGGAGCCCGGCGGCTGCGAGGCGCCGAGCCGGGCAGGCGGCTCCGCGGCGGCGGGCGGGGGCGGCGGCAGCGCACCTCCGCCCTGACACCTGCCGCCGCCCTGCCAAGGTTTGCAAAAGGCGAGCCGAGGGGGGGAAATAACAATAATAAAAGAAGTTATTTCCGAATGGCGCCTGCGGCTCTGCCTGTCACCCGGAGCAGTTCCCTTATCAGCAGCGCTCGTGCCTGGGGGAGGCGGGAGGGGGAAGCTTTGTCTGATGATCTGCCGCGGTGATAATAAACGTTTATTGTTCGCCAACTAAATAGAAAGGATCCCTGCAACGTCATGGCACAGCACACTTCGCCTAGCGCTTAGGAACTTCTCCGTGCTGTTTCACCCCAGTTCCTGATGCTAAGGACAGCTTCCGTGTGAGTGACGAGGAGGGGGGAAAAAACTAGCACCGCACCGTCCGAACCCGCACAGAACAGGGGTACTCCGCACTTCTTCAGACATGAGTAATTATGCAGCACATACAGCTCTCATTATCCACTGCATTCGGTGACTGACCAGCTTGTTGATTAGATTCCAATTGAAATTAATACAAGATGTTTGCTTTTCCTACAGATTTCTTCCTTAACATGAGCCCTTGCTTCCCTTGACGTATTACTACTATGCTTCGTACGAAAACATACGAGAAGACAGCATTTGTTTTGTAACAGACTCTGGCTTGAATTTGAAAGACAAGGGAAAAACAAAGATAGAAAGAGAACAAAAAATACTTTGATAGCTACATTACCTTAAATAATTAAAAAAAATATTTCCAACACACTCTCCTCTATTTTAATCTCATTGTAGGTGTAATTTCCTGTATTCCTCTAACACAGCAAGCTCTCAAGTCGTATTCTAAATGGCAGCTGGAAAGTAAATAACAAACACTGTAATTTTTCCCCGCTGTGAAACTGAAGGCTCTAACCCCATTAGCTGGCGTTGGAACTCAAATAACTGATGCAGTGGGTTTCCTTCAACTTGAACAAAAGCCATTTGAAAAAGTGAAATGCACCGAGTCGTGGCGAAAACATTCTACAGTGATACACCTAGACAGATATTCTCCGAAATTTGGAGGCGCTCCATAAATGCATCGAGAATTGGGCAGAAATCCAAACTTTGGGTGTTTGTTGGGTTTTTTAAAAATATTAAAGGATGCGATTCTGGGGGGAAAGCAGCACCGCGCGGCGCCAAAGCTGTTCTCGCCGTGTCCATCTGACACTGCCCTTCCCCTCCCCGAACAGCAGCCCCCCCACTACTCCCCGCCAATACAGTGCCTGCCGAAACTTCTCCTGCCCAGCCCCGCCGCCGCCCCGCACCGGCCCGGCCCGCCGAACCCCAGCCCGCCGGGCCCTTCAGCACCCGCGACGAGGACAGCGCCGAGTGCCGGCCGCGCTGCCCGGCCCCCCGCGCCGCTCCCGCCGCCGGGCCCCGCCGGCCCCCGAGCCCCTGCCTGCCCTGGCCCCGGCGCTTCCGGCCGGCCGCCGCCGGGATCCAGGGGAGCGAGTCCCGCCGCGCTGCCCGCCTCGCACCTTCTCCGCGGCGTGCGGGAGGTGCCCGTGGCGGCGCGCCGCGGCACTAAATACCTTTGTTCACCGGCTCCGGAAAGCCATGTTTATTGGCGCTGCCGCCCCGCTCCCCGCCGAAAGAGCCCGGGTGCTAGAGCCCCAGCCCGGCAGGGCCAGGGAAGGGCCCCGGGGGGCACCTCCGCCTCCTCTGCCGTGCCCGCGGAGAGGGACACACACACAGAAGGGAGAGGAACGGATGGAGGGAATTAAACAATTAAGCTACCAGGAGCGGAGCTCTGAGCAGAGCTCGGGTTTGCCACGAAAAGCAAATTTCAGAAGGGGGAATATTGATCCCATCCGTCAATAGAGAGGTGCGATGTCTTTCCGTGCGAGAAATTGTTCTGAATTAGGGGGCTCGCTGGTGAAAGGGGAGACAGCACGGAAGAAAAAAAAAAAAAAAAGAAAAAAATGAAAGGAGGAAGGAAGAAAATATTCATGCCCGCTAACAGGGAGCCTCTTTTTAAAAATCGCTGGAAGCTCGCTCCTTTTGCCACTTACCCGAATAACCACCAGAAATCCACCTCTATTGAAGCGCTTACCCTTTAAATCCAGGTTTCGAGCAGAACTCCAACTGTGTGTAAAACCAGGGAGTCATCTGATGTGTGATGGGGAATGGGCTCTGGGCAGCAGAAAGCAGCTTTCTCTCCTGGTGCCGGATTACCATGTTAACAAACCCCATGAAGGGACCCCGGCGCCTCTGGCTGGCCATGTCTCGTTGCTTTCACACATCGGCGGCTGCTCTTGCTTCCCATGTCCCCGGCGATCGCCTCTCAGATGAATGTGGGCTTCCAGAAAAGGAGTCGGGGGGGAGAGGAGGAAAAAAAAAAAAATCGCCTAATGCAATCAAATCGATCTGATCTACACCATCTGTCGCCTGCCACTACACACAAGCGTTAAAATAGGAAAACGGGAGACACTGACAGCTCAGGAAGGTTGTTCTGCAGAGTTCATTTTTAGCAGAGCATAATTGGGTATGGACAGCATACAGTTACCAAAGCTGCTGTTAACCATCCAGTAGAGGATCCCAAACATGCTAATGGTGGATTAATTGAGGAAGATCTGACGTGCAAGCTTCATAGTCTCTTATTCATGACTTCCCAACGGGAAAGGACCAATGCCGTGTGGGACTATGGTAACACAGAGTCAAAGAGCTGCTAAGAAAATGGCTCTGTGTTCATAGCACCTCTCTCTGATAACAAACATATGTCGACCAGAACCGTTTAGCAGGATGGGGGAAATGAAATTTTCTTAGCCGAGGTTAGCAATTCCCATCACTTGCACTTAAAGACAAGTGAAAAATGGACTGCGGGTCTAAGGCGCTTTCGAGTGCTGGTCTCGGGCTTTGCAGCTAGTGAAAGCAGACGGCTCCTGCTCAGACGGGGGGTTAACCCCCAAATCTCTTACTTCTTACTGTGACCAAAGTGCATCCTTAGCAAAGCTCTAAACAAGCAGCTCTGCTAATTTCATCAGGAATGACGCAAGGTCGTTTTAATGCCAGGAACCCTTTTGACTTTTTCCAGCGGGAATGGCTTTTGGGCAAGACATTTCCGATCACTGATATTTGACATAATCTCAGATAAATATGATTTCGGGGGGGGGGGAAGGGAGGAAGGAAGGGGCGGTGAGTTGGGATGATATGGAGTATGCATCCAGACCTGCAATCACCCCTGCTGCCAACACTTCAATTTGGTAGCGTTTTCTAGTCTTTCCTGAATTCTGAGGTTATAGAGACGTATATGTAATTATTAAAGCCATGTACGTACACAAGCCACAGATGCCTGCAGCAGCCGCGTCTACGCACACCGACGGGGAGACAAAGTACGCCCGTCGGAGTGCTCTTTTCCACTCCCTGATGAATCCATAGCCAGCGGGGAGAAGGGTTGCTAGAGCGAGGGGAGGCAAGTTCCCCTCCGCCCGCCCCAGCCCCGGGCGGAGGCGGCAGCTCGGGGCAGGGCCGCGGGGCCGGGGCGGCAGAGCGCGGGGCCGGTCCGGAGCTGTCCGCCCGCCCGGTGCTGATCGGCGGCGGCCCGGCCCCGCAGACAATGGCCGGGCACGACGCGCCCCGCACCGCCGCGCAGGGCGCCGGGCGGCTGTCGCCCCCTCCGACAAAGTCTGCGCGGTCGCCCTGACAATCGCTACAACAATTAGGAAAGTTTTCCTTCGTTTCCACCTCGCCTGCCTGATTAGCAGAGAGTAATAACGCCAGTAATACGAATCCAAGGGGCTGAATGTAAACGTTCTGGTAACCTATTATCGTTTAGGGTAATTCCGGAGTCAACCGCATGATTCTCCTGGAAGTTTGTGTTAATCTCTGTAGAATAAATCTAACAGTTATGAATTAGATTAGCCTTGAAAACTTAGCCTAAAGACAAATCAAACACTTTACCAGATCTTTTGTTTCAATATACATTAATTAAGCACTGCTGCCTACCTACACAGCATTCTCGGGTCCCGGCCGCGGCGCCGAGCCAGCGAGCCCCGCCGCCTTTGTTGGCATTTGCGTCCAACTATTGCCCTCTGCAGGTCAAATCCAAGCCGCGGCGAGCGCTCCGCCGCCGCCGAGCACTCCGCGAGCAGGAGCCGCCGGGCTCGGCGCCCCCGGACCCCCCTTCGACAGAGATTCAACTTTTGTTGGGTTTGGTTCTTCACCACGATGACACAGGCGTGTTTCTTGAGGAGAGGCTACGAGTGGGGAGAACTGGCACCAGCACTTCTCCGGCCGTCCTCATCCTCTCTTCCAGCTCTGGCCAGGAGAGGAGAAGACAGAACAAGGCGAGATGCCACTCAGAAGACATGTTGTTTTCTTTTTCCACTTGTCTCCATATGACTACGGCAAGCTTCCTAGGCAAAGCCTGCCCTTCCCCTGGGTTTGCAGAAGAACCAGAAAAGAACTCAGCACCAAGCAGGAGCGGGTGGGTGCCGACTCTCAGGATCCCCCGACACTCCCAGCCGGGCAACTTTTCTCCGGGCACAACTTGAGAGTTTGCTTTTCTCACTCCCGGCCCCAGGGAGACCTCCCGGGAAGCCAGGTGGGCTGCGGCAGCGGCTGCCAGGAGAGCAGGAACACTGGGCACCGGTGCCACTCTGGCAGTCACGCTCTGCCGTGCCCCGCACGCATCGGCACGGCTTACACGATAACGCACAATATGCTGTACCAGAGGAAAAAAGAAACCAACCAACCCAGTGTTAAGGCGATCTAGTTATTGCTACTTATAATTCAGGAGCTTCAGTGCCCAATAAAAGGTGGCCGCTCCCTTTCTTTTTTCCAATCACACCTGCGCACGGGTTTGTAAGGACCGCTCTATACCCTCTTTCCGCTCCCTACCCGGGGTTAACACTGTGCACATGGGCTTCGGCATCCGCTCCGGAGCCCGGCACCGAGGCCGCCTGCTCTCGTGGGTGCCAGCGCCGCGCTGCCCGCACGCACGGCCGCCTGTCCCCGTTCAAACACGACGGTCTTTCCCCGGAGCTCCGCGCCGCAGCCAGGCGGGGCGGGCGGCTGGGCGGCGTACCCCGGCCCTCCCGCAGGCGGCCCGGGGAGGGGGAGCGGCCGCGCACCCCCCGCTGCCGCAGGGGCGGACACGCGCCCGCCTTTTGTCTCCCGGCAGCCGCCGCCGCCGATCCAGGCCGGGGGCGGCCGCTCCGCCAGCCCCTCTGCCCCGCGTTTCCGGCCGGGGCGGCCCGTCCCACACCCGCGGAGGTGCGGCCACGGCGGGGGCTGCGGGCAGACGGGGCCGGGGGGCGCTGCCGTGGGGCTCCCGGCGCCGGCGGAGCGGGCAGAGCTGGGCCGGGCCGCCCCCCCGGCCACGGCCGCCTGCGCGGGCGGAGCGGGGAGACCCCTGCCGGCCGCGGGCGGGGCTGCAGCTCGAGGCGGGGCCAGGGCCCCTCCGAGCCCCGCCCGGCCCCGCCCGAGCCTCCCCGCCCTGGGGCTGCACAGAGGGGGCGCGGGGTCCACCCTCTGCGCCGAGTCTTCAGCCGTAGGAGGAGAGCACTGTGCGTGTTGCCCAGACACCCGCCCCTGCTCACGCCCACCCCTGCTCACGCCCACCCCTGCTCTCCCATCCTCAGCGGACAACACGAGGAGCTCCTCGTTCAGTGTTACCTTGAGCTGTTCCAGCTCTGCTCCTACGCTGGGACTTGAGAGCAGGGAAGGATTACCTGGAAATGTTGAATAACACCTCAAGTGCTAGGCTGGTGAGATAATCAGGGAATTGAAGAGGAACTCTGAACGGAGTAGCCTAAAAACCAAAAAACATATGATGCGATTTGAGATACATCGTGACTGGCTACTTTTTTCTCTAGAACATCACCTGATGTTAATCTAGGTGATGTTCTAGCTGTTACCTGGGGACATTGGATTTTCTGGCCTGATAGCTTTCTGGTTGTCTCAGGCATGATGCCTAGTTCACAGACTGATTGAGATCCATTTAAAAAGCACTTACTTTCTCTGGCCCTATTATTCCCCTTGGAAAACTGTTCCAGAATCTCATAACTCAGCTTCTTAAGATTTCAAGCGTATGTTTATTACGGGCCCGTTTATAGCTATTTCTTCAGATGCCAGTTTTGTCCTTGAACTTAATTAGTTCTGATATTTACTCCCTTCACAGTGTACTAATATTCCTTCTCATAATTTCTTTTGTTTAAATCAAGCTTTTCGGTCTTGTCTCATAAGATAGAATCTTCATTTCCCTGATTATCCCCATATCCTAGCAACTTATGAAAACTGGGTCATGACCAACACCCAGAAATTACGGTTTTCAAAAGGGTTCATTATTCTATCCATTTTCAGTTTGACCGAGACACAAGTAGGGAGAATGATTAGCATAAGGTCAGACAAACCACAATTCTCCTGACTTCAAGTTCTTTTGTAATCTATCAGGGACATGAGTTCTGAAAGGCTTGTGGTTTATAACTTGGCATTACATCAATGCACATTTATATACCTATATATCATCTTCTGGAGGGGAAGAATGGCCTTGTAGTTAAGAGGGTACATTAGAAATCTGGAGACATAGCTTTGAATGCCAGGTCTGCCATAGGAAACAGAGGTAACTTGGGCTCGTCCTTTAGTCTTTTGCCACATTTCACCAATTTTAAAATGGGGACAACAATCCTCCTCTTCTTGCCTCTTTTTCTTTCCCATATATTTGCTTGCATTGTATACTCTCAAACCAGGCACCTCCTTTTCAGGTACTCCTGGTGCCTGGGCCTCTGAAGTCCAAATGTGTCTGTGACTGAAGCTGCAGTTGAAAATAGCCCATACTCTTCTGAAGTCTACTTTAAGGGTCTATCATAAAAGCTGTTAGTCAGTAAGCACGCTAGGAACCAGAATTACTGAGACCTGTAGCCCATTGATTACATTAAAAATGTTCTCTGTCATCAAACTAAACCCAAGGACGAGCAGTAAAGCTAGGGATGTTTAACTGCAAAACTGCATTCTGGCTTCTGGTTTTCAAGTCTTTGCCTAGTTGAAAACCAAGTCAAAGCTTTATTATTACTGTTATTTATAATAATAACAATAATAATAATTATTATTATTATTATTTAAAAATAGACACAATTTAACGTATTTTCTTCACCAGTTTTCAATTCAGAAGGCAATTTTTGATCAGCTAGTACTGCACAGAAACAGCACTAGCACTGGAAGCCCCAACAGCCTCTTAGCTGGAGTGGTCCTGGTAATAACAAATGCTATCATTGTCCTTCCCCAGCAATCCAAGTGCAGAAGGTTGAGACTGAGACAGAAATAGAGAGCACTCTGTTGAGCTGAGGTGAAGCAATGATATTTATGGGAGTAATTATCACAGAGAAAAACTGGAAAAATATGATTACAGCAAATTGTAACTCTCAGATATGTTCTTCGTTGTAAGAAACAGCTCAGCTGAGACCAAACCAATATGAACAACAGACTGGGAAGTGTCAGACACTGATTCTCTGGAGGCTGATACCATCAGACCCTCTGAGCAGAACATGATCCAGCTTTAGCTTATCAGGGAGCTTGGTGTCAGCAGCCTGTGCTTCTTCCCA